AGTGGCACTTGATTTTGTCCGAAAGAGTTGGCACTCCTGCTCCCCAGCCACACACTGAACGACGAAAAGTAGGAAGGCGTCGGTTTAACGGTTCTTTGGTTTGAACTGCGAAGAGCATCTCCCAAGTTGTTGTCATTAATATTTGCTTCCTTGCTAGTTTGAGCTTAACAGAATGTGCCTGCAACGTTAATAAAGTGTAGTGTCTTGTTTCGCAACTGAAGCGGCGTACTGCAGCAAGCAGCCCGCAGTCTCAGTAGGTAACGACGCTTAGCCTCCTAACCCCCCTATCTAGGTGAGTATAGTTATTGTGTTTTCTTCAAAACTGCCTTTACTTGTGTATTACATCTCTTTCTTATCAATGCAGGCACGAGTGTACTGTACTTCGCACTTCAGAGCTAACAAGAAAACTTCATATCCTCTGCTGTGGATTTTTTTGTGGATTGTTGTGCATTGTCCGCACTTGGTATTTCGTACTACAACTTCTATTTTGCTGCTGCTCTACAAATAAGGTAACCAATGAACTCTTTTAAGGTCTGCTTAACTACTCAAAGAAATATTTTCATATTTTAAAATATCACTGATACAGGGTGAACCTAATGTGGAATCTCACAAAGTTAAGGCGGACTACTTAAACTACTCCAATACAGGTATTAAACATTTCACCTCAGTTTTGCTTTTCAGTACATTTTCCCTGAAATGTATTAATTCTTTTCCTTTTTTTAATTTAGTTATCTACGACCACATCTGCTGTGTGAGTACGTTCACTGAATATAGCCAGTTTGCTGCAACAAGAGTGTCGCAATATCTACGCAGTGAGGTTAATTAAGACAAGGAACACATTTGTAGCAGCAAAGTAGCAATGTAAGTACCTCATATTTAATTTCTTAAACCTAAATTCAATCTGAGTTTCTTTAATCACAAATTCTGTCTTTGCAGGTACAATCGCCAATAATTGCTTCAAACACAAGCCAGCAAGAAGAGACATATTTTTATTTCATAGTTCCTTTTTTCTTTTGAGTGATTTTTTGAATATTCTGACCTGCGAATTCGAAGTTGGTTTTATGATCTTTGCAATGCTTCAACATTTTGCCCGCTTCTGTTATTTATTTTTGGTTTGTATTAAAACTGCAGTGTCAATTTAACTTGACTTGTTCAACTTATTGATTTATTCATCGCCTTGTGTTGCCGGCCGATACAAGTCACGCGAGGTCTGCGCTTAACGTCTGTCAGGTGAGAGGTACAGAGGGGCCTCCTAACCTCGCACTTGCCAGGCGGTCAGCGCAGCCCGAGCGGACGGTAGTATCGGATCGGCACTCCAAATTGGACTGATATTCATTCCAAATATGAGGATATTCACATCGAAATAAGAGCGGAAACCCAGCTAAAGTTGAGGGCGTGCACATCACAAAAACATTGCTCGGCCGCCGAAAAATAGGCATACACCCCTCGCATTAACAGCGAAAGCCGAGCTAAAGTTGAGGGCGTGCACATCACAAAACCAGTGCAGGGTCGCTGAAAAATTGGTATACACCCAGCTAAAGTTGAGGGCGGATACATCGCAAAGGCAGTGCGAGGCCCACTACAATTCCGTGCGTTCACATCTAAAATCGCCATCTAATTGTTGGTAGTGGTCGCGGCCATGGTCGCGTTCCCATCTAAATTTCTTCCCGCCATCTAAGGTAGCGTGCACCACCAACTTTTGGTCGTCATTTTGCCAAACCAACCGTTAGATGGACTCGCGACCACAACTTTTAAGCGTGTGGATGGATGGAGGCTTTGGTTGAGCCACGCAGAGGCCATATCCCATATCGCGTGACCTGCGCTGGTCCTAAACGACAACCGCTGTAGGAAATCTCTTCAATGGAGAATGCGATCACTTTTCGGACTGCTGGGACGACAGGGACAAAGTGGAAATGGTGACCGAAGAAAAACCTGTCCGGCGTAACACGCGCTTTCTGCTGAAAATGGTTCTTGGAGGCGATCAGGGTCACGGCCACGGCCACCTAAAGAGTTGCCGTACGAGTTGTGAGCGAGAGGGACAACGCGCGAACAGAAACGGACAGATTAAAACAAAAGACGTTCGACGGCTGCCGCTTCAGCGACTTTCCTCTTCAGAATTGGGCGAGACAACAGCAGGAAGCTGCACGAGCCGCGGGGAAACGAGAACATCGTGGACACAGCGAAAAATAAGGTCATCATCGATAGTTTCTGTAAAAATGTGAAAAATAAATGAAGGTTTGACAGGCAAATTTTCCATGAAGTTTGTAGTAAAACTGATTCAACATAGTAACATTTACTACTAACACTATAAGTTGACTCGGAATTCACCCACGGGCAAGATTGGGGTATGACACAAATTTACAACATATTTAGAAAATACAAATTACAAAAGAATCGTAAATTTTAAGCGATATTTTTTCACGGTGGCCGGGCAACAATTTAAGCATTTGCGCATCAGAACAGCAACTGCCCTGATGATTCGCGGGCTCGCGCAACATTGTCAAATGCGGGACGACAGCCTCTCGCGGCGGATTACCGTGTCATAAACGGGCAGCCACTGCATAACCGGCAAATAAGGGAGCAGCAGCAGTGTGCGGCTGTTATTACCCAGAGGCTCCGGGATAACTCTTGG